GTCGTTATTTGCGAGGCGGACAAACGAGGCGTCGCGCGCAAACGGCGGAGATCGAGATGCTCTAAAAAGATGAGTCGAGCTGAGCCGATCGGCGCAAGAAGAGCCAAGCTTAGACTCGTTAAGAGCGGATGAGACCGGCCAGATGGGATCCTTATTATCGGCTGAAAATATTGGAACGCTCGATTTTTCGCTGGAAACACGTGGATAATCGCTTTATTAAACGATTCCACAGAAACAGACTCGGGAAGAAACGAGCTGAAGCATTTTTTGATAGAAAAATCGATGTCCGGTTGATTGGTCAATTAAAGAAATCAACCGAGGCTTGTTAACCGAACAGTAAAAAAGTGAAGAGGGGAGAAGAAGACACGCACGACGAGCGTAATTACGAAACAACTAGATGCCCCGGAAAGACGTAACGCTTTGATACGAGCCGACCAGAGGAACAGCTCTCTCTGCTATTCATATTACCTGGAATTTCAATTCCAAGGACCTGCCGAGTTCCACTTTAATTAACCACCGGGCCTAATAAACGCGTCTGCGGCCGGTTGCTTTGCGACTGTTGCGAAACCCGCGACTTTTTTATCCACACGCAAGGACGTCGAGCTTACCGAAAAAGAGACAGCTCGTTGACCCTTCTACTTTCTGCAGCGAATTTCCTGGCTCCGTCTCAGAAGAAAAATTGAAAGAGGAAACGAATATTATACTTATCAGCATCTGAGTGACTGTTCTCTTTCTAAACTCTCATAACCGGTTGAGTAAACAGGAAGAGAGGCGTGAAATTTGGTGGCCTAAAAATTGCCCATGGCGATGTTTTCCCAGGCACGAGTCACTTGTCACCACTTTAGTACTTCCTGTTCGAAGCTTCGTGACAAGCTACCGAAGTCACTTCCCGGCACGAGCTCGTAAGTAGCGTCGGACAGTATTTAGTCAGACCAAGTCTGCCGTAATAAGAGGAGAACAAAAAGTGAACGAACCATAAAAGCGATGGATTCTCTCAGCGATGGGAAGAAAGTAAGAAGAGTCGTTAGATCGAAGTATTTTTCAGGCAGGGGAACGCGAACAATTATAAAAAATGAGAGACGAGCGCGCGGGGGATACATCAGCGCTCGCGAAACGCCGCTAAGTGCATCATTTCCCCCCATAACTCCCCCCCCTGGATTCTGTTGCTTTTCAGCGTTGATTCGCGGCGCAGCTGGTACGCGAGAAAGGAGAGGAGAAAACGGGAGCAAAGCGAGAAGTCGACCGACTCTCTCGGTTCAAGCTAAAAATAACTCTCCTCTTTACCTACGCTCCCCTTCGCTCTCGGGTGCACCCCGAGTCCTCCTCTCTCTCTCTCTCCCTCTCTCTTTCTCCGCGTGTCTCTCGCTCCGTACTCTTGACTCGTCTCTCGGTCCTTCCGCCTCGCGCAGCTCCAAACCGGCTATAAATAAAAAAAAAAATAATAACGAGAACGCGCTGCGGGTGTCTCGAGAGAAGAATAATTAGAAGCGGCCCTTGGAAGCATCCACAGAAGAGAAAACTCTTCGCTGTCTCTCCTTTGCGCTCAAAGATTTCTTCGCGTGAATATGCGATGAGCCTTTACGCGAGGCAAAGCTCAAGCTCCGGGGAAACCGTGTAAGTGTACCATTCGATTTTACATTTTGAATCCTATTTAGATTTTCTTTACTGTAAGAAGATTTTCATAGCTGTACGACAGACTAGATGTACGAGTAGACACATCGATCAATGGTTTCTTTGTACGTACTAATGAATGTTATAACGATTCGAGAAACGAGTGATTCGACTTTGCAGGTTTAACCCTTTTAGTACCGAACGACGATATATCGTCGTTCAAATTTTCAACAAATAATGAAAAACAATTCGTAACGTTTTATTCTCCCTTTATTTCCGAATATGCTGCTTTTTATATTTTGTAAATATCACTTCTACTTTCGTTTTTACGAGCATTTTCGCAGACCTCTGCAAATTCGTCGATTCGGCCCGGTATTCTTCGCTTATTGTTAGGTACGTTCTTTTCGCCGGTACTAAAAGGGTTAAAAGCAGAACGAATAGGACAGAAGGCGAAACTCGTTTCCTTCGTAGGGAAATCGGACTTCAAACTACATCCCTCTTGCTCTCAAATCATCCTTAAGTCGTCGTGTCAACGTGAGACACAAAAGTGTACGAGGGGTCTATTCGCAGACCACGTTTGTAGTTGTACGAACCAGGGAAACGTTTAAGCAAGAAGAAAAGCTACTTCGATTGGATGTGTATCGATTTCGGGTAAATGAACGTCGACCACGTTTTATTAATTCCCGCGGAGGGAAACGTATTTCTGGCAGAGAAACGAAATCTCGGTCTCCAGCGCGAGACAATATCGAGGGAAATGCGGAGAATAGACTACGTGACCGTCGATATTTCCGCTTCGATCCCGGCATTAGAGCCACGCACTCTTACTCCTCACCCTCTCGTCCCACGAGGGTGGGGAACACCCGGCTCGACGAGAGACCGCGGTGTTCCAGCCAGGTAGGAAGAAATAAAATTGCGGGAGAATACGAACGGGTAAAAGCGGACGGAAGGAGGCGAAAAAACGAGAGGAGAAAAAAATCGAATTAAGTCTGGCGGTCCAGGGATTGCCAGGTAGAAAACAACGCGGAGCGTCGGTGCCGATTTTACACGATTTTCTCGGTTGAACAGAAAAGGGAAAGGAAAAGAGCAACTCGGCGGAGGTGGAGACGAAGGTCGAGGAATGGAACCGACGATCTGGATGCGAATTCCATTCCATTAGTCGCCCGTTAACGATCGAACGTGCCCGTTCGTCTGTATACGCAGGATATATCCTGGGAAGGATTTCGCGTCGGGCTCCTGCGGGGAATCCGAGAGGGAAAGAAAAGAAAATTCGTCGTACCTCGTCGTACGACGAATCGCCGTAAAGGATTTTCGATTACGTTTTGTAGCTACCTCGCCTCGGTTTTTCAGAGTTCGTTTTACCTTCCTCTCCTTTCAATGTTTATCGCCTACGTGTACTTCACGCTCCGTATTTACTGCCTCTAACTCCGTGTTCAAGCCACTTCCTCCTTTACATCACCGACTCTACTCTAATTATTTGCAATACTGTAAGATAATAAGTACAGTGCAAATGCAAATAAAGTAATACAGTTTATTCCGACGGTTGATGTACAACTCGTTTAGAAAGAGCTGACGAGTGAAACTGCATCAAGATAATACAGCCTCGCATCAGGGAGGAAAACAGCTAATGTAACGTGCTGCACTTGTCGCGTAGCAGGAAAATAAATTTTTAACATAACTATAAAGTACATTTAACCGCAGGAGAATTCGTGCACAAGTGGAACACACTCTCAAATTTATCTAGCGTCGTTATGCGTCATACGAGTAGGACGACCATTTTTTCGCCGTATTATACTGAAACAATTTTTAAACCACGTAGCACAGTGGCCTACAAAGGATAACTGTGAGTTTCCCGCGGAAAATCGGCGAGAAGTCTCGGGCGATACGAGCGGAAAATTCGCCGCGGAATCCGCTCGAAACGGTCTAACGAATTCACGAATTCCGTCGGAGCGTAAAAACAAAATGCCGCATTCTCTGAATTTACCCTCTTTTCTATTTCTCTACGCTGAAACGTTTCCTACCCTAAGGCGAGAATGCGACGACCCGGTCTTTAAAGCGAAATTGAATTTCGCCTGCAGACTCTCGCGCGTATCTAATTCGAATTCGACGTTTCCCCGGATTTATTCCACCCCCGAATCTCGCCGGCCCGCGCGCGGTCAAAAGAGCAAAACTGCGACGAGTCATACGACGCGGCAGGAAAATTTATAGACCGTCAGGGAGCTGCGACACCTGTTCCCTCTCCTGGTATTACCATCTGAAATATTCCCCTTGTTTATGGACCCGAACGAAACACCATGGAGCGGCGTGAAAAAACGGCTCATGATATTTATTTTTCAGCGCGAGGACGAACCGCGATCGAAACGGTCCCCGTTGAATTTTACAACGCGCCAAAGCGATATATCTTCGTCTCGTCGCCGTGAAATCCTCGCCAGAGCGAATGGACGCCTCGCGCCGTGATTTATACCGACGATTAAACGAGTAGTTGCTTGTTAAAAACGTTCCTTGAATTAATTATTAATTACCCGCGACCGTCTCACCGCCGTTTCATTCCTTATTCTATTTCCGGATTCTCTAAATAGATTTTACGTATACAAGATTGAGTAATCGTCTCCTTTGCAAGGGAACAAGCATACAACGGTTGAACGAGCGCCGGTCGATTTCAGTTTCTATTGTACTTTGAGATCTTATGAAACGCATAGTATTAAATAATGTGACGTTTGTCTTATAAGGCCGGGCGGGAATTCTGGATCTTATTGTTAACTAAACGTCGCGTATTACGGTGGTATTGTAAGGGAATTCTGTATATACATACATCATTCTAGGCGAAGGCAAGCAGAACGGGTTTCGTTCGACGCAGCGCGCGGCATGGTGCCGGAAACGACAACGTGCAGCACGTCGACGTCCGATAATTTCCAACTTCTCCAATTATCGTTTCTCACGCCGCGCCGTGCCGGCTGGGAAAGGAGGTCGAAGAGAATAAACCTAGGAAATGGCGTGTTCCGTTCGCTGACGTTGCTCGAAAATGCGCGCCGGCTCAGAAATAAGCTACTCCGGCCGATCACTCGAAATCCGTGCACCGAACGAATTTTCTATCTCCGATTAAACGTTACCCTACCCTAACTTCGTTCATTGATTCTTTCCAGATTCGTTCAACGTGATCCCACGATTTTCTCATTTTTAAACCGTCTAGTCGATTATCGCGAGATTATTACATTTTTCTAAATCTCATTGTTAATCGATCCTCTTCTCTCAAATAATTAAACAACAGATAAACATAATAAAAGAATTCTGATACGTTATCTGAATCATCAAGAAACGTATTTGACAATTTTTTAAGTCGACGTTTGTCGGACCATACAAAGATTCGTTAAGGAAAATGTTCAAAGACTCACCGATCAGCTTGCCGAACTGGGCCGGTGGTTTCCATTCCGGATAATGTCGTGGAAATCGCGCTCTCGACCAATAAGTCCTTAAAGTGACTTTGTACAGCGCCAGCTTATCCTGTTTCTCCTCCTTTTCTGGTCGGTCCTGGCCGAAAGATCCGCATTGGCCGACCACGAACAACAGCCTCGTTCCCAGTAACATCAACACCAGCGTCGACCATTGCGCCGTCCCGTGAAACATCTGTAAACAATTTAAAAATAACGTTAAATACCAAGCTTCAAATTATGTATTCATGCATTTTCATAATTATTTTATTCACTCGAGAGGAATAATTAAAATTACGCTACAATTGATGAACCAGCATTCTAATTTGTTGTTGCTTATGAGAACATTACCAGAGATACCTTAAATATTCCTGTCCATTTTTTCTTATCGATATTTAAATTACTTAAAATACGGAAGAGGGTATATAAACAAGCACTTTCGCGCTCTGATAAATTTTACGCCACTTTAAAGCTCGATCTATCAATCTCGCGTCGGATCGATCGGTAGCCGGTCTACGAATCGCAATTACACTGAACCGAACGAATGGCCCACATGTCAGGCGAACTTGTATTATCCCCGTGGTTCTGTGTTAGAAGCTTGCGTAGATTTACAGGGTGTTCAGGGAACTATCAATGCGATATCACGTTGTTATTCCACTGTCCCATACGAATTCGAAAAAAAGATTGCAAAACCAGGAACGTGTTGCGCGATGCAAGCGTTACCGAAGTTTCTCAGTGGGATCGCATGAATTGCAACAGCGGTTAGATAATGAAGGTTCGCGTTGAATGAACAGGACACATTGTATAGGTGACATGATTGCACGTATGCACGATCGTATCACAGTCGGCATGCAGCCGCGGCGGCTGCGGTGTTTACATATGCAGATTCGCGAGTGTACTCAAAATTCAAATCGCATTCGAATCGCTTCCGATCGCTCTAGCCGACGTTATATTCGTCCGAATTTCACGCCTGCGACCGATTTTCCGCTGCGACGCTCGATCTTCCCCCACGGTTAACCGTAAATTTCCTCGGGGTTCACCCCTTTCGCTAATCGAAATAAATGCCATTAAATATTTTCATTTATAATTCAAGTTAAATTAGCATTTCGACTCAGAATCAGCGAGCACGTTCCATTAATATAAATTAACAGTCATTATCTATAGAGCGGGTTTTAAATTTGTTATAAAACGCAAATGTTTGATCGCGCGGGCACAGATCCGGCTGTGTAATTATTCTCGGTACATGGGTATAATTACTATACCCTGTTCCGTAGTGTATAAACGTGGAATGAAACGGTGAAAAGATTCAGAAACGAGTTTACAAAGCGGGAGAGATGTTTAGAAAGGAGCCGCGAGCGTCCCGAGCTCGACAACAGAAGGAAACGCGGCGACAGAGGGGTACTGAAAATGGAAATGGAGAACGCGAGAACTTTTGTGAAAGGGATTCGAGTGTCGCGTCTCGTTGTTTTTCGAATCCCGTTTTGCGCCGGAAAGTTTTTGCCCAGCGAACGTCCAATGGGTTTGTTTGCCGTGGAAAACAGCCCCGATGGAATCGAATATCAATAGTTTCATTATGCGAGACGCTCGTTCGTTCGCGTTTCCACTTTGTCCACGAGCCGATTCTAATGGAAAAATGTACAACCTCGTTTCATAACTTTTAACACTCCCACGAACGCTTATTGTCGATTAAAAGTAATCGTCGTACATTATCTGAATTGAAAAATTATAGTAAATCGAACATGTATGCGTCGACAATGGCGAGCCTGCAGAAATTGAATCGTTTCTCTCCACCCATCAATGGAAAACAGAATAACGTTAAAATCATGATTGAATGAAACAGATTCGTTTATCAGAGAAATTTGTTGAGCAATAATTGCCAGTCTAATGGTATCAAAAACGATAATGAAAACTGTGTCCCGGGTGGGATGAAAATGAAATACGCCTTGCAGTTATAGCGGAAAAATTCTGTTCGGATGACAGTCGTTACGGCGCGCGTTGATTAAAAATAAACGCGGCACGCTGTGCACGAATTATACCAGTTCAGGTGTGCGCGCGAGAGAAATCGATTCCAGCAGAATATTGGCTCGTTGCTCGGCTTAAAAAATTGAGAATTACGATTTGTTTCCATGAGTTCTCCAACTAACGCGAAGCCACTTCTACATTATTCCCGAGGAAACATTTTCGTGTGAAAATAAACGGAGACGCAGGACGTTATTTCTCCCGGCGAAGTCGTATCTCGTTTACTGTCACCGGACCAAAAGGTTTCCACGGCGCGGAACCAGCTAACTGAAAACTCTTTCCTTTTTTTCGTTACATTTCATTACTTTCGAATGTTAACGCGTTAACTCGGCGAGATTTCGCTTACGTAGACCCGATTTCCAAAAAGAGAAGTTCTTTTGCTTTACTCAGTTCTTCCTTCGCTCCTAATTTGTTCTAACCCTTCGATTACCGAAGCGACACGAATAAGCAATCGTCGACGCAAACTTAATCTCAAGAATCGAAATCCGATCGTCGACCGCGTAAATTGCAACCAGACAGGAATCACGCCGATTACCTTGGCGAACGAATACGACAAGTCCAGAATTTTCTAGTACGCAACAAGTTGTCGCGAACACGATTACTCGTTAGCACGTAAATAATGTAAAGCAGAAATCTCTCTCTTCAATTCTCTACAGACGGCGGGATTTTACATGAATTTAAATGGTGGTTGGTCTCGTGATTCTGGCCGCGCGAACTTCCGGGACAGTTTTTTTCCGCCAAAACCGAATAAAACGAAAAATTCTGGCACCGCGTCGACCGCAAAACTAAAGTCAACGACTTCACGAGACCGCAATGTCAATATCCACTTCCGTAACACGAAAGCGTAAACGCTTCAAGATTCGACTACGTCATTCCTAATATTAGTGAATTCGATACATTTGTAGAAAAAAATCTCAATTCCGTTTTAATGTATTAAACAGATAGAAGATTTTTAAATCAGACCGGTTTCTAATTTTAGAACCATCGATCTATGCCACAGTCTGTAACTGTAGAAAATTTGTTCGTCTACGATTGGAACTTTTCTGGTAGCATTTCCATCGAGAGCGGATAGACGACCGCATCTGGTCTGAAGGGGAGGCAGGAAGATAAGTCAGGATCGTAAAGGAGGGAAACGCTTCAATCGGTTCCAGGATCCGGGAAGAAAGGACGATACTTCTTTGCAGCTTTAAATAATGTTTGAATAAGAAGGCCGAAAAAGTTTTTCGGTTAGACCCGCCTGCTCGAAACAGGATTTACAACCAGAAGGGAGAATAACCGAAGGCAATAATAAAGTGAGACTCGCCAGGAGCGAGAGAGGGAAAGACAGTGGATATTCAATTTCAATCGGATTCCTCGAGAGCTTCATACCCAGAATCCGCTGCAAAAGTTCGAACCGGGACGAGGACCGGGACCGATTTCGGCCGCTTCGGGTCTGGAGTGGACGTGTTTTAAGAGTGCAGGGCTGCTGAAACTTCTATCCCTTCGTCGTTAACTTTCCACGAAAGCCATAATCCAGCCACTCTCCCATTCCCATTCCCAATGTTTGCCGAGGAACACGTGTTCGGTAACTGTTTGGAACGTTCGCGGTGAACTATGTGCCACAAAAATGCGCCACCGAATTACCGAGCAATTATTCGAATGGTTTAGCGGCAAACGACGGAGGAGGTCCTCGAATTTAGTCTTGGCGTAAGAAATAATTACAGAGGGATAATACTGGTTTATGTGCGAAAGGTGCGTTAATAGGCGGACGGGTGGAAGAATTAACGACGACACAATTAATTAATACATTTGCGATAATTAAATGGAGAATGGTAATGAGGAATGGTAACCGAGCGTAACTCTTCGGCGAGTATAATTTCCGAGATATAATTGATTGAGAATCGATTAATAACTACGTTATTATGAATTCCAGCACATGCGTTATACGTACACCGAGTGAAAAATATCGGAACCATAGACAACCGTATGAAATAATCGACCTATTAGGTCGGCAACTAAATAACTGCGGATTTTGTCGATAGACTTCTTATTTAAAATCCGCAAACACTTAGTTGCCAAACCAATCGAATTAAGGACTTCATAAATAATTGTTGATGTTCGATGATCGAAATCGATTAAGGGTTGTCACGTCCATTATCGAAAGTAGTATTTTTTATATAATTTGAAGTATGAATAAAGATGTTTCCTCGTTCCACGTGCTACTATAACTCGCGCGCCTTTTCGAGCATGAAAACTCGCGACATTGTCGTGTACTCGAGCACTCGAACGAATGAAAGTCAAAAACTGGGGCAATTACGCGTTCGCGAACAAGGGAATCGTTGCGAAAACAAACTTTGCTGCCTCTTGAAAAAATATGTGGCGGGGAGAAAAAAGCTATCGCGAGGAGAAAGATCGAATGCCACGGTTCAAAAACTGTCGCGTTGCGTAATCGTTAGGGGGGGTGGAACTCTTTTTGCCAGCTAAACCGGCTCTTTTTGTCAGGCCTCAAGCGAACTAGCACGCAGAAACGATAAACGCGAGTAAACTACATAACTGTACAATCTATTGACAGAGGCATGCACGTACAGGACGCTCCAATTGGGGCGTAATTGTTTCAGGTTACAAGCCTCCGGTAACGAATCCGCAAATCCACCGCAGAACACATCGCGCTCTCCTGCGTTCTTCCGGTGTTCGCTCGTGTTTCGTCTAACAGTGTTCGTTACCGTGCTTTTTACCTTTCACACGTAAATCGATAGCAAAATTATGTAACGAGATGAAGAAACATTTCGTGACTGGAAATTCATCACTTACCGTCCTTTACATTTATTCTATATTATATCAGACGATGGTCGATGTAATATTTGAGCCATTCATTTTATAAAAATAATAGGAGTCGTGTTTATTCTCGCCATCACATAACTCCTCTCTCCCCGTTTTAACTTTAGAAGTTACGCAACGGGCGTGCTTCGGCGCGGCGAAAACATGTAGATTTTCCGCGGTAACAGTGAAATAGGAGAAACAGACGAAGCGTCGTCGTCGCGTCGCGCCTGGAAATACGATACCCTGATACTGACCACGTCACTCACACTACACCTACGTCTTCTATTAGCTTTGTTTACAAGCGAAAATCATCCCTGGCCGCGAACGCCTCGGGCATCTACGCGGGTGTATACGCGACCGATTGCACACCGGTTGGAAAAAAAAAAGTGCCTTTGACGATTCTAGGAAGAGCGAACGTGCTGGGGAGTGTCAACAACCCGCGTACCCTTGGGGCAAGAACCATGCAACGTTATCTAACCATGGAAAATTGAAATATTCACATGGGTTAATGCGTGATACGCACTATATTATAAAATAATACTGTAATATCATTTTGCAATGCAGATTCATACATCATCATTATTGCTTGATTTATCCAATTTCTGCTTCGACATTACCATTAGAACTACAATTGTATGCATACGCAGTTCAGTTAAATGAAGCTGATTTTTAATCCGCTCATTGATGGTCCCAGGAAATTGGAATTGAACGTAGAACAGAAGTTTCTACTCGATTAGCAATGCATGAAACGGTTGATCAACCCTAGTAGAGCTCGGTATAAATGGAGTTCCAGGGTGAAACATTTATCATGAAAATCGTCTTACCTTACTCGGGATGTTCCCTCTCCTTGGCTCGTCACTCCCCCTCAGTCCAAGGACGAACGATGTCAAATGTGGCAGCACACCTCACATATCACACGCGACGCGAAATAGAGTCATACGATTGCGAATTTTCGTCCGGTAATACACGAGATCGCGATTTCCGAGTTTTCCCGGCGCACGATGAATAACACGCGAGCGGTGGGGGGACACACGCACGAATTTGGTCGCGTGGACAAGCGAGGGATCTCACGTTTCACGAACACGAATCACCGGGTCACTGACGCGATGCTTTTAGCTCAAGGGTTGCCGCGTTACTGCGAGCTCCGCGCCGCGCCGCTCGGCGGCTGATAGTACGCCGCCTCTTCCCCTCAGCCGCTCATTGGCTGCCGAATTCGCGCCACGCGACGTCACCGGCGACTACCGACAATAAATATTTCGAAAGTTTTCGAAAACGACGTTTAATCAATAAACGCATTCACTGTCTTCAATAGATATTAAAAAAGAATTTTTTCATCTCTCATTCATGAAAGTTCTGCAACAAGAATATACGAGGATATATTCATTTAACGATCGGACTCCATCATCACGGTTTTTATGAAATTAATAGACAGCGGTAGTTGGGATTAACTCGGCTCGTATGAAACGAATATAAAACTGCTCGGATGAATAACAGTAGGCCCGAAATGAAGATGAACAATAAACGATTCATAGTGCTGATAAAAGGTGTTTTTCTTTTCCGACATGAAATTGCAACTATGCTTGCGGTAATTGTAAATGTTTCTATAACGCGACCCCCGCACGTTTGAGCGCGTAATTTCGCAGGCATAATTGCAGCATTCGTTGCCACCCAGCCACCCTTTATGCCTAACGATGTTACGGTGCTCTCCGCATTCAATTCGAGCGTTCCTTGTTGAATTTATACTATGTGCAGCGAGCCCGGTTCTACAATGAAATTAACTCGGTATTTGACTAAACGGCCGTTTTTTGTCGAATTTTATTCATCGTCGACAATGAGTCTTGGCAAGAAAGACAAACCTAAGAAGAAGTTAATTGTTAATTAACGTCTTGACGAAGAAACTGCGCATGGCCGAGCTGAGGAAGATGAAAAAGGATTCGAGGTGGAAGTAATTTGACGAAGCATCTCACGCTCGAGGAGCAAGATCGATCGTACAACGTTCGGTAGCGATGTTTAACGAAACACCCGGTTGAGAGAGGGCCACTTAGCCGAAATTACCCGGACCGACATAGATGAGTGGCAAGTAGTAAAAAGGAACTGGGGGTCGAGGTGAGAACGACGCCCGGGCACGTAACCTTGATTTGCGACTGCTTCGTGATAGCAATCGAGGATAAGACATCCCGCACGATGATCGAATCCAGAGAACTCATTCGATCGCAAATTCGATTCGCTGGCAGATCCGATATCCAACGAATGTACAAAAGCTTTGAGCTTTTAACGATGCAAAGTACCTTCACAGTCAAACAGAATCGTGTGCACATTTTTCAATTCTACCTGGTTGAACGTCGATTGAAAATTGAGATCACGAGTTAACAGCGTGACAACGTTTGTTATCCCCGTTCGCAATGGGAAAGAGACAAAGAAACAATTCACGCGACTTTGGATCGCGTGCACTTGGCCAACTGCTGCACGCAACGCCATTCCTTTCTCTTGTACTTACCTTCTTTTTTAATGAGAATCAACCATCCGAGCCGGCCTCATTAATTCTGTTCTTTTTCGTGGGAAGAACTTGCATCCCCACGATTCCACCGGCGTCCCCGGCTCCTTCTCCGTTATCCGGCCGAGCTGGTCCTCTCATTTTTCATTCGTCGCTCGGAGAAAAGTGCACTTTAGCCGTGTCACCTGTAGACAAAGATACAAAGGAATATTCCGTGCGTCTGCGAATATCACGTAGCTGGGCCACTGGAATATTTCATACGGTGCCATGAGTGCATGTCATTGCACCCGTATCCGTGTTTGTAGCCCTGTCCCGGACACGCGCGGGACGTTTTATCTATCCGTACGAGGAACTTGGAATAACCGATGCAACTGATGGAAATTGATGCACTTACTTAGGTAAAAATTTCTCAATAATTTACAAGCGGACAATCCATACCGATTTTATACGCAACGTGACGACGTTACTATTTATACATGTACTGTCTTACATCACAAGATATCAAAGCCTGATATTCTTACCAATATCTAATCGAGATCCTAATTCGAAAGTTTATACAATTTTACATTAACCAGTTAAGTGTGTTTGACGACTATATCCGTCATGGAAGAATGGCAGAATTTTGTGTTATGACGGCTATATCCGTGAATAAATTCATTCATTTTCTAAAATAAAGTCGTCTTTTTGACCCAATATTTCAACAGCGCCACTTACTCTGTGTTTGACGACTATATCCGTCATCGCTTGATTATCGTGACACACACTGGGGCGCACTTTGCAAAATGATCGACACAGTTAAGTGATTAAGGATGTATTGGCTATACAGTCAATCCCAAAAGTTTATGCACTTTAGAAACGCATTTTTTAAAAAGAAATCAGATGTCGAAAGAACATTGCTAATAATAAACGACAAAAAAAAATTTTCGATTTTTCTGAGATTTTTCCAAGGGGTACCCCTTCAATTTCTTCCAAATTTTCGTTTTTGGCCAATAACTCTCAAACCGTTGGACATACGGAAAAATTGTATACGACCTTTTTTGTAGAGGACGACGAGATCTACAATTTCCATGTAAAAATTTGTTGCTAGCATCAATAGTTAACGAGTAATTTGCAAAAAACTGTTTTTTCGTTTTTCGTCAATAACTCGTTAAATATTAATGCTAGCGAAAAACTTTTACATGGAAATTGTAGATCTCGTCGTCCTCTACAAAAAAGGTCGTATACAATTTTTCCGTATGTCCAACGGTTTGAGAGTTATTGGCCAAAAACGAAAATTTGGAAGAAATTGAAGGGGTAC